TCTCCCTCTCCTGCTCCCCCTGCGTGTACTCTCTCTCTCTCTCTCTCTCTCTCTCTCTCTGTCAAATAAATAAACTGAATCTTAAGAAGAAAAAAAAAGAATAATCCAATAACTGTGAAGCAGATCCTCTTTTGCCTTCTATTTGAGCTTTACTTATTTAACAGCTGGTTAATTGGCTTTCAGGAAGGCAGCATTTTAAATGGTGTCTGGGGAGGTGGGGTCATTTGCGATTAGATAGGCCCATCTGAGGCACTGAGCCGCTCACCTATGCAAAACGAGCTTCGAGCTTCGGTAGGAGTTTATCAGAGCCCTGGCCTCTTTTATCTATCTAGACTAGGGTGAAAGTCTAGGTTTCTACCTGAGAACCTTGTCAGGCCATTCTCTCTTCCCCAACACAAAATCACTTTTGTTTGTCTCTCTCCGTCCTTATTCATCTTTTTCTCTCCCATTTGCTTCCCCCCAGCATCCCGACTTCTGTCCCAGGTTGGTCCCAAACGTTTCTCACCCGCTGGGGCTTTCAGAACTAGAAGGAAGGATGTAGCTCATCACCACTAACCCAGCGCTTCCATCCCTGACGCGTCATTTGCATTCAGAATGCTCTTTGGCTTAGTTGGATGTGGATCATTTTTTCTGCTCTTTTGAACTAAGTTCTTCCCACATTTCAATGTGGCCTGGTTGTTCCCTTTCTTTTTTAGGTTGAGCTACAAGCTCTAGGACCTTGCTACTCAAGGTAGGAGCCATTGACCAGCAGCATCCACGTCTCTGGAAGCTTGCTAGAAATGCAGTTTCATGAAATGCAGGGCCTCACCCAGCCATCCCAACGATCAGAATCAGGATTGTAGCATCTGCTTTTCAATGAGATCTGCAACAGGATGCACATTAAACTTGATGAATTTTATTCTCAGGTCTGATATCCTTTAAATGTCTTTTTTTTTTTTAAGTACAATTTCATTTTAAACCATACTTAATCCCTATCTTTTTCCATGCTCCACCACTTACATCTATGATTAGTTTATTTGACATTGACAATGCTTTTGTCCTTTATGTATTCTTCTTTATTAAGGCCTGGTAAGACTCCCGTATTTTTTTTTTTTTAAGATTTTATTTATTTGACAGAGAGAGACACAGCGAGAGAGGGAACACAAGCAGGGGGAGTGGGAGAGGGAGAAAGAAGCAGGCTTCCCGCGGAGCAGGGAGCCCGATGCGGGGCTCGATCCCAGGACCAAGGGATCATGACCTGAGCCGAAGGCAGACGCTCAACGACTGAGCCACCCAGGCGCCCCCATACTCCCATATTTATTGGACACAACTTCTCTCTTTATCTGTTCCATCAGTTTGCACATGGTACTCAGTAAATTTCTGTTGAAATGAATTGAAAGGCCAAGATGCTGCTACTGGTCATCAGATGGGCCCCAAGCAGGGCTGTGGCTGCAGAAGCTGAAATCCTTTCTCAGGAGGGCAGATTCTTAGCCTGGGTTCCTTAGAAAGCAGAGCTTAAGACAAATTGTGCACTGAAGCTTTAATGGCAGAATATCGGGATCCCTGGACAAAAGGGCAGTAGAGCAGGGAAGGAAGAAGAGCAAATTAAAGATGGTACATTTTTTAATAGACCCTAAATTCCCAAGAAACACGGCTGGTTTGCTCAGGGCCGTATGCAGCCTCTCCTCAGAAACTTCCACAGGGAGGGAGGAAGTAAGACCAATTTTCTCTGCCAGCAACTTCTTGCTTCCCACCCCTCATTGGCCTGTTTGTTAACTTTCCTGCATTTTGGGCTTAGGCACCCAGCATTGTGGGGCAGCTGCTGGATAAGCCAGAGCCTCTGTGGGTAGACCTACAGGGGCCAAAATGTCTCCACCAGTTTTGTAAATAAAGTTTGATTGGAGCACAGCCATACCCATACAGATTTACATACTGTCCACAGCAGCTTAAGTATCAGTAAAACCCACCTGAAAGGCTCATTCTGTGTATTAAATAAGACAGTGAGTGTAAAATGCAGAGCATGGAGCCTGCCCGCTGGTGTGCTATGAAAACAGTAGGTTTTTGTGAAACCTCACTCTCCCCACTTAACGCTGCTGCGATCAGTACATCTCAACAGACCATCCACCTGCCCCCCACTGCCCCTCCACTGCTTTCTGTGGCATACCTGAGGTTCTCCCCATAAACTTGGTCCTTTCCATCCAGACCTCTGGGTGTCAGGGGACTCACTGGGAAAAGAAAGCCCGTCTGTAAGAGAAAGCCCCTGAGCTGCTTCCAGCTGTGTGTGTGTGTGATCAAGTGCGATGGCAAGCAAGTTGTGAATCATGGAGCAAAAGAAAGCCAACACAGCTGAGCATTTCCTGGGCGGCCCAGACTGGAAATGTAAGGTGGAGTCCAGGTGGTAAGCTGGGAGGGAAGGAGGAAGAGTGGGCGCACGAATGAACATCACAGACACAGATCTCTCCCTGTGCGGGCTCAGCTGACTGGCTTGGCAGTATCGCTGCATTTCTCACATCTACATGCTTTCGGATGTTTCCACCTCCTGGGCATGTGCTTTACCGGTCTACTTTTTCATATTGTAGTTGCGCTCTTGCACGAGAAGTTTGTTATCTCAGTTTAATTTCCTTTTTAAAGTTTTATTTAAAATAAATTAACATAGAGTGTATTATAAGTTTCAGAGGTAGACTGCAGTGATGCATCCGTTGCACATGACACCCAGTGCGCATTCCATCACTCAGTTACCCCATCCTCCCAGCCATCCCCCCTCCAGCAACCCACAGCTTGTTTCCTAGAATTAACAGTCTCTTAGGATTTGTCTCTCTGATTTCGTCTTGTTTTATTTTTCCCTCCCTTCCCCTGTGTTCATCTGTTCTGTTTCTTGAATTCCACATGAGTGAAATCACGATAATTGTCTTTCTCTGATTGACTTAGTTCGCTTTGGCATAATATCCTCTGGTTCCATCCACTCAGTTTTATTTCTTAGACTAATTTCAAGTTCTTTCTGACAGTTAAAAAGTTTAGTTTCCTCTCCGTCCTTCCTCACGTTTGCTCTGAGCCCCATCTGTAGCATAATCATCTGCGCCGATCTGGCCTAGGACTCTTCATTTGTAATAATTTCCCTCCTTTTATTACCGACCCCCCTGTGGGCCTCAGCCTTGACTACTTGGCACCTGAATCATCCAGATCCCTCAGGTTTGCAGGTGGGAAGCGGAGAGGTGGGTTATGTGTAGCTTGGGTGCAAAGCAGAGACTGAAATGCAGTAGCACTTGTATATGGATTGGCCATGCAAACCCTGGGCATATTAGGGCAAACGTACAGATGCCCCGTTGTCATTTTTATCTTTTAAAGCACATTCCGCACGCTGTCCTCCAGAAGCCGTGTCTGCTTTCCAAGAGCAAAGGAAGGAGGAGATCCATGGTCCAAAACAGATAGCAGGATTCATGTTTTCTAAGGGACTGACAAATGGATGTGTGGGGATTACTCCTATGATGTTCTCTGCTCTTTTTACAAGCAAGCGTGTAATACGCAAGAGCGGTTAAGGTTTCAACAATGTCGGTCTGTTCCAGAATTCTATCAAAGCAGCTGCCCCTGCTAATAGACGTGCCGAGTCGCATCCCTTGGAAGTGCTGGTGTCCGCAGCCCTTTGTTAAAGGCTCTGCTTCCCATCTGGCAGTGCAGCCTCTTGTCTGCCTACCATGAATTCCAACAGGGAAGCCGAGACCTGTGGGCTTCCAGGAAGAAGGCCTAGGAGCTGAGCCCAAACTCTGCCTCACTTAAAATTGCAAAGCTGGCAGTGGAAATGTAGATGAGCAGCTGGGTTGGGAGGGCCTGTGTTTGCACTTAAGTGTTTCATAAGTGGGGGGAGGGAGGAGCAGTGGGGACGCCTTGCCTTTGGTTGATTGGAAAAAACCTGGAGAGGGGCCGGTTTATCGGGGGCAGAGATCAAAGGGTGGCTGCTTGCGCTTTTGCCAATGGGCCTGTTAATTTATAGATGATAAATCTGATAGGGTTTGGGGGGTTTGTTTTAAATAAAGCTTTCGTTAGTAAAGCTATAACCTAGAGGGGGGCTCTTTTATTTTCAACCTTTAAGAGTTTCTTTCTTTTTAAACTTCACCAGTATGTTTACTGTTGTCATTAGTGATTGTGATTTTTTTTTAATTTTATTTTTTTAAGTAATGTCTACACCCAGTGTGGGGCTGGAACTCAAAATCCGTGATCCACAGTCCCATGCCCCACCGACTGAGCCAGCCAGGCGCTGGGTGATGATATAATTTTTGAAACTTTGATGCATATCGAAGAAAGCTTGATTTTCAGTGCATAATGAAACACACAAAAGCCGTTAAGAAATCAGAATAAACTTGAATAACTTTTTTAAAAAACCGTAATTACTCTTGAAAGCTAATTCAGAATGCCAAACCTATATTGAAGCTGAGTAAAAACGGAACACTGAACAGCGAGGTGCAAAATAGGTCCTTGTGCACGTGCCTCGTTAGGCGAAGTGCCTTTGTCTAAGATTTGATTTTCATCGAAAACCCGACTTCTGCGGGATTGTTTCCGTGGGGGGCTTGGGGGCACGAAAGAGCGCTGTTTCAACACCTGTCGCCTCAGAGTTGAGGAACGTGTTTTGGTGCCTGTAGCGCATCAGAATTAGGGATGTCGGGTCCCAAATAGGGAAGAGCCGGTAAATGAGGCATGTTTTTCTGGTCAGATCAGTTAAGGCAGATGGCAGTTGTGGAGAAGGCTCGGCGAGAGTGGAGAAAGCTGACCTGCGGGGCCTCGGGCGCTTCTCCTTCCCGCACCCCTCCGACTCTTCCTCCTCCTCCTCCGGACCCAGCCTCGCCCTCGTGAGACCTCGTGGCGTTTGCAGAGGGCGCACAGCCCCCACCGAGGCCGGCGCCTTCTCCGCACGCGCGGGCATGGCGGGGGGAGCGGCCCCGGGGCACATGATCCCCCCGCTCCCAGACGGCCCAGCACCTGACTCAGGCGGGGGCCGGTGGGGGTCCGGGCAGACCCGAGCCGCGCGTCCCTGAGCACGGCCCATGGCCTCCCCACGGCTCGGGACCTTCTGCTGCCCCACGCGGGACGCCGCCACACAGCTGGTGCTGAGCTTCCAGCCGCGGGCGTTCCACGCACTGTGCCTGGGCAGCGGCGCCTGCAGTCTGGCGCTCGGCCTCCTGCAGTTGCTGCCCCGGCGCCGGCCCGCGGGCCCCGACGCCCCGGCCACGGCCCCGCCGGCCTCGGCACGCGCCCCGGCCTCCGTCCGCATCCTGCGCGCCGCCGCCGCCTGCGACCTGCTCGGCTGCCTGGGTAAGGCGCGCGGCCCGCGGGTTGGGACCTGCTCGGTGCCCCGGTGAGCGCG